ATCTGTCCATCTATCTATCCATCTATCTATTATATGTTGCTGATCTCCAGGACCATAAGACTAATGGAGGGCCAGGGGTCATTGGAGCTAACATGGACGTGTTGGTGTGTTCAATTACCTCCAAACCAATCACCTTCAGTGAGTCTTGTTCCATGGAGAATCACGGAATGATCCATGTGACGTGTTGAGGGAGTGCCGAGTGGGATACTATAACAACCTAATCTCATATCAGTTCAAATACATGGTCATTATGTACATTATTAGTGGTGGATCAGTGTCTTTGTTGTTTAATAATTGATGTTTTTTAATGGTTGAGGGCAGAGGGCATGCTGCAAGTCAAAGGTGATGTATTTTAATGTATGTTTTATATTTGAAAAATCTAAAGATGTTGTGTTTTAAAAGCCCTCCAGGCAAATCTGCAGAATGAAACGTCGTCAAGTGAGTTTGATTTTGAGGCAGTTGTACTCAACATGAATACCTCCAGTATATTATACTTATCATTTTGAAGGCAAATATCGTGTTTTCAGCAGATTGAGATTGTTATTCATGAATACAGATTTCTTGAACTAATGAAATATGGTGTATAGGATAAGCTTTCATCAGCGCATACGGTATTAAAAAGTGAAGATCTCCACCTTACAAGCTACAATATTACATCAATGTAGGTTACGCATTTCTATCATTATACATAATTCAGGACATTTGAATGAACAAGGCCATTCTGCATAATTAATACTTTTACTTACGCTACTTAAAGTTCATTTTGATGTTGATGCTTTTGTACTTTAACTTGTGTACGATTGTGTGTAATGTAATATGTCATAATATTAATACTTCCTCCATCAGTGGAAATGTGTGATTTGTGATATCTGCGTATATAAATAAATCTGATTTGTTTGAAGCTATGACCGAGTGATTGACAGTCCAATAATTACATGAAGTCATGCAGAGTTTGGCCATTAATATTTTACGAGTGGCATTAATACACTTCATTACCTCCCTGTAATGTGCACGTTTCCTTCTGTACTCTAAACACCTGGGGTTCAAATGATTTGCTAATGTCACATCGATCAGAAAATGAAGTTTTTTTGGCACATTACGGCCAAATTGTGTCGTTGTGCTAAATAACAGCCACCGTAGGGTGATCATTAAACGGGTGAAATGTAGTGCAACAAGAAGAAAAATTACCTATCATGTCAATCTAGCCACATTTTCTCCTGTGTTCTCTACTGAAATATTATGTGTTTTAGTGCTTTTTAGTTAACCTTTGATTGATCCTATTCTTGTTTAAAATGTGTTTTTTTTCAGACACCAGTTAGTTAATGACGTATCTGTCTTTAACCACTGCCCTGTTAGTTTCAATTGTGCAATAAGTGGATGAATTACAAAGTACTTTTCTTATACTTACTTTCCTGTCGGGCTCCAACTAACAATTATTTTCATTTTTGATTATTGTCAATGAAATGTCAGAAAAAGTAAAATGTGATGTATTTAATATAGTCTATGTATGTTTAATAGGTCAAAAACCCAAAGATGTCGTGTTTTATATAATCCAAAACAGAAATAATCCTTATATCTCAGTATGGATTACCCTGCCTGGTATTTTTGACTCATTGATAGGTCAATTAAATGTCCTTATTGTATTTAAATGTCTTGTTTTGTGGGTCCAAATCCCAAAGATATTGCGTTTTATATGAAATAAACTAGAAAAAGCAGGAAATCTAAATATGTGATCAGCTGAAACAGTATTATTTCATGTCATCTTTGCATGAAAAATGACTTTATTTATTAGCAATTATCAACCAATTGATTAGTCGACTTATCGTTGCAGCTTAACTATTGTTTTTTGTTTATTTGTAATAAAACGTTCAGTATAATATCCAAGCTTTAAACGCTGTTAATTGAAGTATTGTACTTTATAACAAATGTAATGCATGATGTGAAAGACCATAAAGACACATGTAGGTAACCAACATTTATTTACCATTATCAACTTTACAATAAAACCAGTAACATCTGTCAACATTAGCAAAATAAAGAACAGAAATCAATCCAATGTATTTACAGAGACAAAGCAGATTCAGGCTCACATACGACAGGTAAACAATTCTGCTTCATATCAAACCGCAACAGTGAACATAGCAAGCTTAAGTGTTCTTTTTTCATAGTAAGGTAAAAATCAAAGTTGTCTATTTTTTTTTTCTTTAAACAAACAAGTAATAGCTTCTCTGAATCTTTAACATGGTTCTCTATAATACACCACAAAATACTTCAAATTTGGGTTAAAATATAGGAATGTAAAAAGTTGGCAAGTCTCTTTAATTTTCTGATTTCTTTTTTTTTTTTTTTTTTGCGAACAGTCATTTCAAGTGGTGGTGTCCTAGTATGTTATCTAGCTTCTTCAGCAAGGAGGCATCTTTGATTTGCAGATTTTGTGGGAAAAGATACCATCTTTCTCCATCCGTCTATACGTCATGGTGTCATTAGCTCGCTTTCTAGCTTTTAAAATCCAGATTTCCACACGGCGACCAGCCCACAGTCTAAAACTCAGTCCGGGTCCAGATGTCGAGCAGAAACCAGGGAAGTGATCTAGTGAATCTAGTCTGTCGTCTTGTTATCATGACGAAAAAGTGGCACGTCGAAGGAGTCTCTCACATACATGTGTATATATTTACATATACATATATCCATATACATATGTATACATATACACATATATATATAAATATATATATATACTCTTAAATTTTCTCTCTCTCTCTTGAAAAACAGTTCACCCAGTTCATTGTGAGATAAACGTACAATCACTCCTTCTTTTCAGAGGGGGCGGGGGTCGAGCTGCTCTCCTCTGCTGGTTTCGTGGCCTCGGGGGCCGGGGCAGCTTCCTCTTTGGGGGCCTCCTCTGCTTTGGGAGCCTCCTCTTTCGCCGGAGCCTCCTCTGCTTTGGGGGCCTCGGCAGCAGCAGCAACCTCCTCCTTCTTCTCCTCCTTCTTCTCCTCCTTCTTCTCTTCCTTCACCTCCTCCTTCTTCTCCTCGGCAGGAGCAGCAGCCCCGTTCTCAGCCGGTTTCTCCTCGGCGGGGGAGGTGGCGGCGGCTTCCTCCTTCACAGCCTCGCTCTTCTTGGTCTTCTTCAGATTCAGCTTGAAGTTGAAGGACTTCTTCAGGGAGAACTTCTTCTTCTTCTTCTTGGGGGTCTCCTTGGCAGCAGCCTCTCCTTCAGGTTTGGCGGCCTCTCCGTCTGCAGCGGGCGCCGGCTCGATGGCGTCTCCTGCGGCCGCCTCAGGCTCCTTCGCTGCCTCAGCCGAGCCGTTGGTGGCGGCGGCTCCATCAGTCTTTGTGGAGACATCACCGTTGGTTTTCACATGTCCATTCTCCTGAAAAAAGGTTGACAGAAAAAATAAGATGTGAGACAGAAAATCACTTTTGAATTACAAACAATCTTCTGGACAGATGTTTAGAAAACACAGAGGAGTGATTTTAGAAGTGCATTTCTGCTGTCTTTGCACAGCATCGTCGAGCTCATCAATTAACCACCGTGTCGCCTGGCTCAGAGGCGACGCCTTGCAGTACTCTAATCTCGCGATAGGCGGCGGTAGCTCCTCACACACCGCCTGAGGTACCAGACAGACATCGACTCAACAAAGACAAGACCGGAGCTCATCGAAGGAAGACTGAAAAAACACTTCCAATTTAGGTTTTTCTCCAAAATAACCAACCTGGCATGAACATTGCCAACTTAACGCTCAAGTGACGTCTTTTTAGTGTCATTAATTTCTAATTCAATCAATGCAAAACATAATAATGGTTTGAAGAATTAAATGCATGATTAAATGTGACTTATTTATCACATTTCGATGTCAAATGAGCCAAATCGGTGTGCAGACTAACTGGGAGGAGTGGTGCCTACGTGCGCTCGCGCTGCCCCCCCTCCCCCTTTAATGCCTGGCACTGTGAAACGTGTTGTGCGGATTTTGGGTAAAACCTCCGTCAAAAATAAACACATTTAACATAAATGAACTAAACCGAAACAAATAACACGGTAGGCTATATTGTTTTATTTAGTTTTTCTCTGTGATTAATCCATAAGCAGGAGAAAGCAATGCTTAAAAAAAGCCCCACCTGACTTGCCCAAAACCTCCTCACATTCAAGTTGTATCGATTCAGCGTCGACTAAATCATTTAAACTAATGTTTTCATATGAGAAAATCAACTTTGATGCATCTGCAAGTATCTCATCTGTTGAATGACATTTTAATAAAGTGTAATTACCTGTCCATTGGTTTTGACAGCTGCTCCGTCAGCGGCAGCAGCGCTCGCCTCCGCGGCCACATCTCCTTTGGATGCTTGGGACCCCATTGTCTTCTGTGAGTTTTTCTAAAGCAAATGAAAAAGAAAAACTAAAAAAGAGTGTGTTTTTCGAAGTTAATCCAAACTCCAGTTCGAGATAAGTATCCAGTGGTGAAGAGATGAAAAGTACGGTGTTTTTTTTAGTCTTCAATCGGCTGTTATTCCTTTCCTGTGCTCGGACTTGTCACCCCGGTAGAGAGAGACCCTCTAAACTCAACACTGGTT